CATGAATTGGGTGAGGCTGTTAGGGAGAAGTCACATGCCCAGATTAGAGGCGGACAAAAGAGATTGAGGAAGCAATTCACTGTGTTCTCTAGCCCAATGCCTCCCAGGGCTTCTGAACTCTATGGAGACAGTGATACTGTTTCTCTTATGCCCTTTCTTCCCAGAATAGAAATAGAGAGGGGCTTGATAGGAATGAGTCCAGTGTGATCCTTGGAGAGTTTTGCATGTTTGAGAGCAATAGGCCCAAGCCACAGATGGCCTGGCAGTGAGTAATCCCCCGCAGAGGCCAAGCCGGAATGACATGAGCTGGCCTTGTTCTTGGACCATCATTAGAGATGCTCAGAATATGCATGGGGTGGACTCCAGTGTGAGGTGCTAAGTACTAACAGCTAAAGAAAGTATGGGCAGATAGAATACTACCTCTTCTTTCCCTAGTCTACTGGGGCAAAGGGACAGTGAGGTTACACAGACCTGCATACAAGTGTTCAGCTAAAGTCCCAACAGCTATACATACAGACATGAGACCAGAAATGGAAAAAGAAATAGCAAGGAAAGAAAACACAGTAAAACAATCATACTCTTTGTTTAGTTCACTTACAAGCTATATGTTTACTACTTTTTATTTTTTTGAGATAAAATTCTACTACATACCCAGACTTGTGATGTTTCAGCCTCCCAAATGCCAGGATTGTAGGGCTTAGCAAGCAACACTCCTGAACTCAACACTTAATGTCCAATCAATTCCCGAGTCAAGCCTGTTAAATACATTCCAACAGAGAACACATCGCACATAGGAGGGGTTCTATAATACAGACAAACTCTCTGGCCACCATGGAACTGCTCTTCCCATCCTCAGAAGCTGGTATCCAGCATTTGGGGTCTGCTTGAAAGCCCTAGAGATTGCTGTGTTGTCTTTTTCTGCAGCCTTCAAAACATTAGACAAATGCCAAAAAAGTCTTATAAAAGGACCTAGGAGCCGGGCATGGTGGCACAGGCCTGTAATCCCAGGACTTGGGAGGCAGAGGAAGGGAGAGCTCTGTGAGTTCCAGGTCAGCCTGGACTATTTAAAAATAGTAGAAAGACCCTGTCTTTAAAAAAAAAAAGTTCCAGGCTTTTTGAGAAACTTTGGATGCTAGGTCCCTTTCCTGTGAACTAGAGGAGAACTCATCCAAAAGCCAAAAGTTGGGCTGGTGCCGAGGTGAGAGAATTCTGGATTTACCTGTCCTACAGTTGACTAGTCAGTCACATTTACTGGATTTCACTGAATCTAAGAAACAATCCATTTTAAGAAGTACCACTATTTCCTATGCAATTAAGAAGAAGAAACGGTGCGAATTAAACTGTGACCTGCTATCTATTGCAAGATTTGTCTGGATTTTTAAAGATGTTTAAATTGAAGAAATATGTATGGGTAGTAGATGAAATGCAGTAATTTCCAAAATGGCAGTAGTCACAACACCATCCCACTTCCACACTGTGATTATCTGTCAAGCAAATGTAGACAAGGATCCTCCTGTCCTAAATGGGGAAAACAAGATCCCTCTGGAACCCTGTGTGTCTCTATAAAACTCACTTCTTTACCAGACTCTTAATCTCCCTTTGATATCATCTAAAGACTGAATTATACGGTCAGCTGTTGTTTTAAGCATGGTTTGTAGACGCTTGATTGTGGCTAATGAGCAGTGAGATGTTCAGAGCAAGTGAGACATGGGGGTAGGTCTGTGCTTTCTTTCTTATGATCCTGGAATCCTGCCACCGACATCAAAACCCACGTGACCCAGGCATCCTGCAGTCCAGCCTGTCAGGCCCAATGCATGTACATGAGGTCCACTTTGATCTTCCATTTACCATCAAGAAAGCCAGGTGGGTGCAGGTGCCACTGAGATGAGCCCAACTAGACTGTCCAACCAACCTACAGAAGTTTGAGCTAATAAATGGTTGATTATTTTGTTGTTTTTGTTTTGTTTTTAAATCCTCAAGGTTTGGGGTAGTTTGTCATGGTCAAGTGCACTCGAACCTAAACAGGTACTGGAAGTACTGTACCGTCACAGTACAGTCTAAGACACATGGCATGCAGATGGGAACTGCTCGATCTGTGGTGTTCTACCACAGAATCCTGAATGGACCAAGGCAGAAAGAGATGACAGAAGAAAGATCTGGTCCATTTTCAAGCAAAAATTGCAATATAGAAATGTAAGGAATTTCTGAATTATAACAGGAAAACTTTCTCCTTTATAATCTCTTATAGCAATAAAAGACTCAAAGTAACAAATAAGTTCAGGGTAAATATATAATAATAATAACAATAATAATAATAATAATAATTATTATTATTATAGGTCACTTTCTTAGGATCTCCTGGGCTTTAGAGAGTAAGCAGTCAGGGCTGGTGAGATGACTCAGAAGGTAAAGGCCAATGTTGATGACCTCAGTTCCATCATCCCTGAGACCAACATGGTGGAAGGAAAGAACCGACTTTGGTGAGTTGTCTTTTGACCTCCACGTGTACACTGTAGCATGTGCTTATACAGACACGTGTACACACAAGTAAATAAGCATTTAGAAAGTCACCAGTTAGCAAGGAAACACTACCCGTCTCCCCTCAACACCCCCCGCCCCCTGCCATGAGGTGACCCTTAGCTTCTTTGGGTATGTCTGAAATCTTTTTGTAATGAACAGAAAGACTCTGAAACCCTTGAGGAGAATCTCTGGTATTTTGTGTTGGCAAGGGGTAGGTGTTCAGCGTGGTACAGAAAGGGATGGGGACCACAGAGAGAAGCTAGACTGGAGGAAGGCCTGTGGGTTACTTTCTGCTCTCTCCTGCTCCACCTTGTTCCAGGAAGATTGTTGCTGGAAGGAAGATTCCAACAAAAATCAGTCCTGTGTGGGGTCAGAATAACAAAATATTATAGTTGGAGAGACATAGAGGAGAGACATGCAGTAGATGGAGGCTGATCTCCCATCTCCAAGGAGTTTCTCCTTCCATTTCCCATCTCCCTATTCCCTAACACTGAAGTTTAGCTAATATAGCACCAAGGGAGACAGCTATTAAAGAGGGGATGCCCTCAGTCAGGGGCACTGTGGTGGTTAATTTTGTGTGCCAACTCAGTCATGTTGCAGTCTAGCATTCAAATGCTTATCTAGATGTGGCTGGAACCATATCTCATAACAGCCGTTCAATCAAAAATCAATAACCTTAAGAGAAATCAGCGTAGACAAGCTGTGCTGGAGAGACTTGAGTCCGTGGAGATACTTTTGGAGCAGAGCCGAGGCTCCCCTGATGAGGGTGTTCTAGCCAAGGGATTCTGAACTACCATGAAGGCTGTCTGTCCAGGTTTGCAGCTGGCAAGGGAAGCCCCCAACGTGCAACAATGCCATCCTTTCTTAATGTTTATGCTACTTATTTATCTGGTTGACCCTAACTGAAAGATGTTGAGAGAGCTTCCTAACACAGAGTCACCTACTGGACAAAATGTGGTTGACCAATTGGGTTCAAATGAACCCAGATGATAATATCCCTCTCTTTGACAAGACACCCTACTCTGTTGGGTGGGCAGTCCCACCAACCCACTAAGATTTCACTAAGAAGGCACAAGTGAGGAGCTGGCATTTAGCAGAGGAGTAGCCACAGGAGGGGAGTTCTCAGGGCAAAATGTGAACTCTGAGAGGGTGAAAAACTATTCGCCTAGGAAGAAGAACTGACAGGAAATAGAGGTACACATTTAAAAAGGCCTTTAGAGGAAACAGACCGAGTGAACCAGAGAGAGTACATAGAACTAACAGTCTAGAGGGAACTACATAGCAGGAGACATAGGCCATCGAGTTCCAAGGTAAGCCATGTGAGGTGCAGGAGCAGTGCTGTGATAGAGATGGACATGGGACACCAAATGTGGGAGACAAAGGTGGGAGGCTTGGGAAGGTAAGAGAGTCTACATGTTTCCTGGTGAGATTCTCCCCTGAAAAGGAAGGGTTTACTTTTTCATCACTGATCCTTTATAAACCCCAACAATGCTGAGGGAACCAGGCAATCACACCTGGACATGGCTTGTAGGCCATCCAGCTCAGGCCAGGGGAGGAGCAGAAGCCCTTCCCAGAAACCAGTGCTGAGCTTGAAGTGTAGGGATGGGCCCCAGATTCCTAGAGGCATTACAATTAAGTTCTAACTCATGTAGTTAGTAACTGGTGCTTCTAACCCAGGCTTCTTATTGATTTAAAAATTATTATAAATTGTGTGTATTAAGTGTATGTATATGTAGGGGTACATGTACACATGAGGGCAGGTGTCTGAGGACGTCAGAGGTGTCAGATGCTCCTAAAGCAGGAGTTATAGGAAGTTGTGAGCCATGTGTATGCATGCTAAGAACTGACCTCAGGTCCTCTGGAAGAGCAGCATGTGCTGTTAACCACTGATCCAGCTCCCCAGCCTCTTAACTCATGCTAAACAGAACTCACACCCCAGAGGTCATGGTGGTGCTCCTGGAGGTAGAGATCCAGTCCTGCAGGATGTTGTATTACCTTAAATGGGGAGTTCCTGAGCCCTTCCTGCTCCTCCTGAAATCTGTCCCAGTAAATGCAGCTCCAGCAGGCCTGCTCTGTGGGACATGCTCAGGTTCATTGTTTGCTTGGCCAGACTGATGGTCACAAAATGCACCCAGAAAATATTCTTATGTTCTCTGTCTTGTTTGGAGATTCAGTGATGGCATGAGAAGAGGGATTATTGAGGAGCAACTTTCCCCCTAATCTGCCAGGATCCTGGTGGTTTGGTGTCCATGGACTCTCTGGAGGCTACAGGGACGGCTCTGCTAATCAGAATAGTCAATAGGATGCACAAATGAGAAGAACTCCTCAACAAGAGAATGCTAAGGATCGTTTATTTTGGACACAGACACTAGGAAGCAGTCACCACATCATAGATCTTCATCTCCTAAGGATGCAGTTCTAGGGCTAGGGAGTCGGCAAGCTTGGGCTCCGTGGACTCAGAAGAAATCCTCTGGGGCTGGTCATCTGCTGTACTTATAAGTATCGAATCCATCTTCCTCTTCACTGTCAACCGTCTACAATACAAATTTGATCATGATTTTCATCTCTTTAGAAAGGTCTAGCTGTTCAGCCCTCACTGTATGTCTAGCAGCTCATTGCTGTTTGGATCTTCTGCCTTGTTGTAGTATTTCCAATCTCCAACTGCACCCCAGATACCACAGCTATCCAGGGCAATCATTTCCCCATCTCCCAAGGAGGGCCAGCATATCTCCCACCATCTAAATTTGCTTTCCTTTCTGGTGGGCTTTGTGTATCCTAACTTAAGCTTTCTCCTCATTGATCTCCACTCTGACATCTCTTAGCTTCCCCCAGGCAAAGCTAGTCACCATTGTTAGAACTTAGTAGAAGCTGGTGCAGAGCTCATGGTGACACACAGGCCTGTTTTTCTGATTTAGTTATGTTTACCTTTTAATCTCCATTCTAACACTTGCCTGCCTGATACATAAGGTGTTCAAATGAATGAATGCTCCCACTACTTCATTATTTCTCTCCCTCCCCAAAACACCTGCTCTCCTGGGAGAGACAGACCTCTGAGGCTGGGGAGGGGAAGAAGAGTGAGACATCCCAGTTTATGAACATGTGAATCTCAGTCATGGTGACTTGTGCCACTTTAGTCTCTGTGGGATTGTCTTTGCAGAGGAGAGGGCCACAGATCATGTAACCCAGTGTCCTGCTGCCCTGTACTTCCAGTTCTTTCTCTTGGACACATCCAGACTCTTGTGTGCAGTTAGTGGACAAAGCCACATGAGACTGTCCCAGCAAGCTTCCCTGGAAACTCACTCACTCCCTTGGACATACCTTGAAAGGATGTGGTGGTTTGAATGATAATGTCCTTCATGGGCTTATACATTTGAATACTTGGTTCCTAGTTGTTGGAGCATTTTGGGGAAGGATTAGGAGGTGTGGCTTTGTTTGGTGAGATCACTGGGGACAGCCTCGGAGGTTGCAAATGCCCACATCATTCCCAGTTAGCCTGTTCTCTGCTTCATTATTGTGTGTCAAGATGTAAGCCTTCAGCTACTGCTCTAGCTCCATGCCTGTCTGCCTGTTGTCATGATCCCCACCATAATGGTCATGGACTCACTGTCTGAAACTGTAAGACCCTAATGAACTTTTTCTTCTGTAGTTGCCTTGGTCAAGGTGTCACAACAATAGGAAAGTAAGACACAGGACTATACTCACTTTGAAGACAGCAGGTTGGCAGGCATGACCACACCCATTGCTGCAGCACTTCATTTTCTCAGGGCATGATTCATCTCCTGTGCATCTCTCATCACAAGTTCCAAAAGTATTTGGGGGCAGAACGGGACAAGCTCCAGGGTTTTGTAATCCTAAAAAAAATGTTGTTTATGGAGCCTGAAGCAGTCAGAAAAAAGGCTGAGAATTGATGCTAGAGGTCCGAAAGCCTGGTCACCTGCAAGAAACTAGCTTATTCTGTATTCTCCTTTGCACCCGGGGCTCTTCCCTCAGCTTCACCAGGTCCAGTTTCTCTCTTAGGCCTGAGTGTTCCCTGGCCATTGGGGAAGTGTGCTCCCTCCCCAAGTCTATAGTTTCAGTAGAAAGAATCTTCCACTGCCACAGCCCCTTCTTTATATCTGAGAAGATGCTGTAAACCCTCTAATGACAGCCATACCTCTCTCATCCCACCATGCCCCAGGTTCATCTGGAGCAACAGTTTCAGTGACCCCCACATCAAGGCCCATCTCCAAATTAGAGGAGCTGTCCTGATCTCTACCCCAGCCTCTGTCAGACACAGCTCTCTCTCTAAAGAAAGATAAGAAGTGCAGAGTGACCACTCTTATAGACCAAAGGAAGTGAGTTCAACCCAAGCAGTGGACACATGGATTTCCCTTGTGACATCTGAGCCTCAAGCCCTAGTGGCCTTTGAGCCCTCTCTGCTCTCAGCTTGGATCCCCTTAGCACACTTACCTCTGGGAGAAGACAGAGCACAGGCCGTGTCCATCATTATGGCTAAGAAAGCCACCAAAACCAAGACTGTGGCTGCCTTCATGTTGGCTCTGGCTTGGCTGAATGCAAAAATCAGTTTATCTACTCGGTAATGCTAGAAGCACAGGAGTGACAGAGGACAGACAATTGGCAAGTATAGAAAAGAGACCTTTCCAGAAAATGCCTGCCCATAAACTGGCTTTTTCTATTTTGTAACTGACTTCTCTCTGAATACAATTAGAGTATTGTTCCTTGGTAGGTAGAACAGAGAACCAGGAAAAGTCAAGAACAGGTTTTAGCACTGTGTTCCTGCTTACAGCACACTTAGCCCTTTGTGAACGGTGAGCAAAGGATGTAATTGCTTCCTTGTAGCTCAGCATGTCAGAGTGAGAGCTGACACGGAGACAGCCACTGTGGAGAGTCAGGGCAATCTGGGGCTTTGTGGACATCCAGTTGTGTAAGGACATGGCATGCTTCTGGGACAGGTGGTGATTGTGTCCTTTGTAGCTCTAAGGATTCCCTAAACAGGTGCGGAATCTGGGCCCCTCTTCCCTGCAGAAATAGGCAATGAAATCTCTCCTGGAAGAGATGGATACTCAAAGATTCAAAGAGGCTAGGGCCAGTTGAAAGTAAAGAGATAAACTCCACTATGAAGGTTGATTTTCTTTGACCAAGGCTTTTCTGTAAGTCAGGTCTTTAGAAAGAAAGCTGCACAGGTGAGCAGAGAAGGGTTGGGAGCCATAGGAGAACAAGCAGTGTGTCTAGTTCCTGACTAGATACCTGCCCTATTTGATGCCCCAATTATAGACTCTCAGAGAAGGAGCTGTAGTGGTAGCGCACCAGCAGCTGCGGGAATGTCCCGGTCATCCTGTGTCTGACTTTGAAGTTATCTCACTTTGTACAGTTACTTCTCAGGGATTGAGAGTGGTTTCTTTGGTCACATGCTTTGCTCCATGTGTTTCCAGTCCTTCCTTCAGATTGAGGAGACATTCCTGCGTGCCTGTTACTCTCTCCCTCTGTTGTATGCATGCTGTGTCAGAAACATAGGCAAATTCATTTGTGTTTGTTTATAATGTCATAATTTAAGGAATAATCATAATTCACAAGACACAGCATTGTTTTGGGTTTGTTTCCTAGATATGGTTTATCTTTGTAGCCCTGGTTTTCCTAGAACTTGCTGTGTAGAATAGGCTGGCTCAATCTCAGAGATCCTCCAGGCTCTGAATTCCAAACACTGGGATTGAAAACACATGCCACCACCATTTGGCTTAAGACACAGCAGTTTTAATGGAAGCAACTGCCCAGGCAGTTCTACATTCCTTGGTAACCCTGGCCAAAACAAACACGTTTTTTTTTTATTCCAACCTTAGTCACTAATAATAGCTCTCAAATCACATAATATACAACACAGTAAATCCATCTCTGTCTATAAACACACACACACACACACACACACACACACACACACACACACACACACACACACACACATTACAGAAATGGCTGGAAACAGTTAATAGGCCACAGCAGAATTCAAGAGGTTTCAGAAGTCCAGCAGAGCAGAAACACAGAGGAGTGTAAATAGAATCTACATTGATAAGATAATGAACCAGGGTGTAGGGAGAAGCTGGAGAAGCTGAGGTAACTGTAAATCAGGCCACTTCAGGTCACCTGCTTGAAATCAAAGCTGCAGAGTTGAGTTTAGCTGCAGAAGCACAGAGCAGGACCAGGCTGGGAGGAAGGATGGAAGACAGATGGATGGAAGGTCCAGGTGGGGGAACAAGAAGATAAACCAATGACAGTAGAGTCAGCTATATCTACAGCAGATAAGGAGCCATCCTGAAACCCTGGGACAGTCCTGAGTTCTCTGCCTGTTGATCCTTGACACACAAATCAAGAGCTCAGATAACAGGTAGGTGGGGCTTTCACAGTGCTATATGTCCCCCATTTTATGGTCTCCAATGAGGAATTATACACTTTCATTGGTCTAATGTGTCCTGTAAGTTCTTGGGCTGGGCTTTTCTGATATGGTGTACTTCTATGTGCCCCATAGAGTCTCAATTAAATATATAAATTTATAAAGTGTCACCATTTCTATTCCTAAAGACAAATTATTTGTTCTCCTGTGTGGCATGGGTGGTGCCAGACAGGTGGCACCATTCATGTGCCTACCCAGGTGCACAGTCATTCTTCATTCTCAAAATAGAGTCAAAAGCCAGTTTTTAGAAAAAATGGAGTCTCTCTGGTCAGTGCACAGTCTGAAAAACAATTGTTTTTCACAGTATGGAGAATTTAAGATAGGTTACAGCTGAACTCAACATCTTCTGTGGAGTGAGTTTCCAGGTAGGCCTCCAGAGTCCTCGATCTTATGATTATTATAGCCCTTGCTTATTACTGCTCATCACTGATGGTGGCTTGTTTAGCCCATTCCTTGTCCCTAGTTGTCATAGCTAGGACCATGCTTGTTCAGAGGGGCTTGAGTGGGACAAGAGGGACAGAGCAGCACCATGACCTCAGAGGACATATAAAGTAACTGACAGAGCAGCAGGGCTGATCCAGTGTCCCAAAGTGCTGAACGCATCTCATCAGATGCCAGCGGAGTCCAGGCTTGTGTGGGAGGAATAGGAGAAGGAAAGAAAGACAGGCAACAGATTGTTCACAGTAGGAGGAAAGCACCAGGAAGCAACTATGTTTATCTTGTCAGCCAGATGAAATTTTCTATCACCGGACTAAATTGAGATGGGGAGCTGGATTCAATTGTGGAAAGAATAAAGTGAGATTTTTATATATGAAAGTTGGTGAGTACAAAACGCATGAGCCTATCATGAAGGAAGGCAGTCTTGTGAAATTTACCAAGGATGCTCTTACTTAGCAAAGCGAATAAAGGAAAGAAAAGGTAACATTTTCAAAACTTATGTCTGAATTAAATTTTACCACAGAGGGCTGTGGGGAGAAGTCTGACCCATTTCAGGACAAATTCAAGAAAGCAAAGCTAAGGCCGGAGTGAGGGGTCACATCTTGTTGCTTACATTGTCCTGGTTCCTGACATTTTATAAAGTTTGCAAATGTCTGAATGCACTCCTAAGAGTGACAGCTGTCATGCTACAGAAGTGTATTGGATGCGTAGGAGATGGAACTAGGGGAAACTTTTGGTTGGATATATTTTAATTCCTTTGTAATTATATATAAGGTCCATTATTAAGGTTCTTTCCAAAGCTATCTTTCAAGACTTATGGAGAAGTAAAGACATTTTGATACAAATACAAATTAAGGCAACCATAATAAATACCCCAGCAGTGTAGAACCTTCCTAGTGGGATACTTTCCAGGGAGGAAGAAAGCTGGCCCTTCTTCATGGAAACACATCGAAATGTCCACTCCCTCAGAGCTGCAGACAAACAGACTGGACCTTGAAAAGAAACAACCATGCCCAATATAGGAACTCAGCAAACCCTGGAAATTAACACAGGAGAAGGAAATGAAACAGCAATAAGCCACCAAAAAAAAAAAAAAAAAAATCACCTAACACAGTTCTAGGAAACAGGAAACGCCTCTCTGTAAAAAACAGTAAATGCCCTGAACTTATTACAAAAGATAGAGTCTAATGGTTGCATGAACAGTCAAGACCATGTGTGGTCTCTAAGAAACACGTTTATAAAAAGAAGTAGATACAAAAACTTATTGTCAAAGGATGGAAAACTAATTGCCAAGCAAATGGAAAACATAAAAAGCAGGCAACAGCTAGCCTTATATCAAAGAAAACTTCAAAACTAATTAGGAGAGATAAAAATGGACAGTACACATTAATTAAAAGGATAATTCATCAAAAAGGTATAACATTTGTAACTTCTATGCACCAAATATTGGGGTCTTGGACTTCATAAAATACACAGTAACAGACAAAGAGTCAGGTAAGTCCTGAAAGAAAAATGGTGAGGGCTTCAGTATTCCAGTCTTATACTTACATAGATCTTCCAAACTAAATACAAAGAAAGTTCAGAGCTAAAATATACTATGAGTGAACTGGACTTAACATTTATCTTATATATATTTGCTCCCAACAGAGAGAGAGAGTAGGATTTTACTTAGCAGCACATGAAACTTTTTTCTCACATTGACTACATAACAAGACAGAAATTAAGTCTCACAAATACAAAAAAATTTAAGATAAATCTTTGTCTCTGAACAGACTGTAATGCAATACAACTAGAAATCAACAATAAGAGGAACTACAAAAGCCATAAAAATACTTGGAGACTAAACAATACATTTTGATTAAATAGTAAATAGTGGGCTATCCAAGACATCAGAGAAGAAATAAAAAAATGTCTAGAGACAAATGGAGACAAAAACATTTTCCATTAGAACCTCTGGGATGCAGCCAAGGTTGTCCTAAGAGAAAAAGTTATAGTAGGAAGTGCCTGTACTTAAATATCTAGGAGATATCAAATAAATAACCTAAAAATATATCCCAAAACTCTTGAAATCAATAAATATTCTGTACAAACCACACCTGACAGCAAGAAATAATAAGGATTAATAGAGAAATTAATGAAGCAGAGATTAAAAGAACAACACACAACACCAATTAAATAGAGTTGTTTCTTTGAAAAGGTAAATAAAATTGACAAGTCCTTAGCTAACCTGACAAAAAGAAAGAGGGAGAATGTTGTTTTTTTTTTTTTTGTTTTTACTCTTTACTCTTTATTCTTACTTTTTAATCTTTGGGGGCCCACCACCCAGCTCCCAAATAAATCACACACTGATATAAAAAGCCTTAGGGATGTTTGGCTTAATCCTAGAATGTTCCATTCTCTTATGCACCTGTGGGGTCATCACTGTCAGTGAGTGAATCTTCAGCTGTCAATTGTACCAATTTCCTACTGCTGCTATGACAAGTCATGGTAATCTTCGTGTCTTGAAACTAAACACACTTAATTCCTTGAACTTCTGGGGATCAGAAATCCAAAATTAGTTTCACCAGCCTGGGGGAGAAAACATTATCTTACCCTTTCCAGCTTCTAGATCTACATTTTTTTTTAAGATTAAAAATATTCTGTGTTTG